GTTGCTATCTTTGAACCTGCTGAAGTGATCCAGAAGATTAGCTCTCTCTGTTGTTCTCTCTGAAGATTCTCAAGCTGAAAGTGTTGATTTTCAAGAATCTCTACATGAAGCCTCCTCACCCAACGTTCATTCAAAGCCAAATTCTGAAGAAATGCCCATCCGTTCAAGATGAAGTCATTTATTGAAGATTCATCAAGTTTATCTTGAAGCTGTGAAGAAATCGAAGACAAATGCTGAAGCCAAGCTCCAAATGAAGATTGACAAGAAAAGCCAACTACATTTTTAGGGGGAGTTTGTTGGGTCAAAAGAAAAGAAAGCTATAAACCAAGGGGAGATTGTTTGGTCAAAAATATGGTTTATACTTTACTTTTCTAGGCAACTATATTTTTCATTCTAGGAGCGTAAACAGCCTGCTGTTTACGGTTGTATGGGTGTTCACGGCTGTGAACCTGTTTACGGCCGTGAACATGTTTTCGGTCAACTAATGGGTTTTCGGTCAAGGCCTTGTATTTTGGGCTTGGCCTTGGTCCATATATATATATATATATATATATCTATATATATATATATAATATATATATATCTATATATATATATATATATATATATATATATATATATATTATATATATATATATATATATATATATAGTGTTAGTGGAGTCATAAGTGTGTACGGCTACAAAGGAGCTTAAGTGTGTGTACTCTAAGGTTTTCCTAGAGAGAGAAAGTAGAGAAGCTGCAAGTGTGTGTGTGAATCTTGTGTTGGATCATAACTCTTATCATCAATACATTGAAGATTCATCTTATTCTTCTTCTCCTTCTTCTCCATTTGATCTTGCATCATCCAATTGATTGGGATTCCGCACCATCAATTGGATTTGATTGATATATCAAGCAAATTTGGGACTTACAAAGGGAAAGGAGCCGGCACGGTAGTAGCGCATCACACCACTATCTTCTGTACTATGATGTTCTTGGGATTGTACTTTGACCTTGTTATTTGATTATGACATTCTTTTTGAGAATTATGATCTATGGATTTAATCATATGAATTAACTTGATGAGGTTTTCTCTAAAATGTTTTATGAATCGTTATACTAAAATGAAATTTTTGGTCTTGAATTTTGGGATGTTACAATTACATTTTGATAACATTCACCTTTTCCTCTTCCCCTATAGCGAGTTTGGTCATCAACGGGCACAATTGCATGTACAAGTGTTCCATCTAGTGCATCTACTGCTCCAGAAAATATGTCTTTTAGTCGTCTCTGTCGTTCTGAGGTATGTCTTGTTGTATTAGAAGATGATGGTACTATAATTTCTCTTGCAAAACACATCATTGCACTTAATACCTCGTGAAAACATAGATGAATTGCTTGTAAGGAGTTGTGAAACCTTCCTTTAACGGCTCGAAAACGTTCATTATGTCCTATAACATGTAAAAATATAGCCATCTTCTCTTCAACGCTTATTCATCTACTACGTTGCAACCAATTTTTTTGAGTAAAATGATTGCATAATAATACAAATGCATCTTGTGAAAGACGCATCATATCGTAAGTTTGTATAGGACATCCGTGTATCAAATATTGTGTATATGCATGCCCGGTTTCTTCCGATTCGCTAGCTTTTATTCTTTCAATTCTTTTTTTCCTTTGTTGGACCAACATCAACCAATAGCATGAGAGTATAAGAAGACCTAAAAACTCACCTTCCTTATCCATATGTAACATGTTAAATGTTAAATATAAATCACATACATTTATAACATAAACCATAACATAAATAAATAACATAAAAATCCATAATATATAAATCCATCATATAAAAATACATAACATAAAAATCAATACCATATAACAATCCTAAACATAACACATAAAAAACCTAAACATAAAAAATCCTAAACATAACACATAAAAAACCTAAACATAAAAAATCCTAAACATAACACATATCAACCCTAAACACAAAAATCCATAACATGTACCATAATATAAATCCATAAAACATAAAGCCAAAACATCCCAAAGTCATACTAAAGTCAACCAAGTAATCCAAAATTCTTTCCCGCACTTTTCACCCACAACTCACGAGTTGAAGACTCGAGGCGTAACCAAATTTTCCTGTTACCAGCATTTTCAGCGAATAACATAAGAGCAGTGATATACTTTGGATAAGAATTTCCCCACTCAAAGCCTTTCAATTTATCAATACATTCATCCATCTTCTTGTCAAGATTATTTTTTTGCGCGAACGCCTGAGCCGCCTTCATAATTTCATTGCCAACCTCTCTTATGTCATAATCTAGTGTGTCCTTGGGTGCGGGTGCATTTCGTTTTCCTCTTTTGTTTTTAGACCGACCAGAGGAATCTTCACTTGCAGGTGATGCACTTGTAGGTGGGGGTACTGTTGAGGAACTTGTAAGGGGTGTACTGTTGAAGTTGAGGCTGGGATATCCATTTGAGGTGGTGAATCTACCATCTCGATATCCTCATAATCTTGTGTAGTAAACACTTCTATGGGATGAGGGGTTGTCGAAGATGGTCCCCAACTGGCAGCACCGGTCGAGGTCGCACCGTCAAACAATTGGGTGCAAAGATTTGGGTAAAGGAGTGGCGCATTTCTTAATTTCTCAACCATCTTGTTCAACTGTTTGAAAAAATGATTTTATTATGATACTTTTAAAACAAAATAATAATGTGTTTTAAATTAAAAGAACACCTTCGCCTCCGCTTTCCACTCTTCATCCGTCTTTTTAAACGTGTTTGTTATAGGATTATAGAGACTCCCGGTTTTGTTTTTTAATTTCAACCAAACTGCATACTTGTTTTTCAAGTAGTCATAACGATATTTCATTTGTTTTTTGTCAACAACAAAGTCATGTTCTTTTTTTAATTTTTCAGCTATTGTATTCCATGAGGTTCCTTTGAGACCGTTATCCTCCCAACCGTTACTTGTTAGTTCTTGTATACATGCATGAAGAAAAGTTTTGTTCACAAAATCTGAAGATCAACTAGCTCTACTTCTCTTTTCTGTCATATTTAAGGAATAAATGAATGCTAAACATATTACATAAATATATACATATATACACGTATACACCAATATACACACAAATATGTCCACTATGGTAAATCCTTTTTGATTCTTGTATTTTAGTTGGACTTTCGATCAGCCAAAGTAACAAACTGTATCATCATTGAGTATTGGTATTTACTTAAGAAACTAGAGAATGCTTGTTTTAGACACAAATATAATTTGTTATTCATGCATTTGCCCTATAATTTTTTATTTTTTATTCGAAGTAACTTGCATGATAATATTACTTGTAGAAGAAGCTTTAACAATCACCCATGGTGACTTCTCTTTCACAAATTCTATCACAAGATTTCTCAAAAAATACAATATAGAAGTCCGACTATATCCTCCTAAGTCAAAGAGAAGTGCAGACAAAAACTCACCCATTACTCATTTCTTATTACAATAAAAATGTACCTTAATTTAATACTAACATCCAAAAAATCATAAATCTAGTTTTTGATCTCCCCTGTATCAGGTACTTGGTCCAATTTTTACGATCGCGAGGAAGAGATGAAATTGAATATATGCAATGCCCTAAAGAGCAATTAAACAGACCATTCAATGAAAAAATCTTGAACGAGAAGGAAGGAAGAAAGAAAGAAACTATTACCTGTGTCGCGGCTCTTGTTGTTGATCGGCTACTACTGTTGCGTCGTCGAGGGAAAAAATCGGAGGGGGGATGATATCATAAGTAGTTGTGCGAAATTAATAGGGCAATGTGGGTATTGTTTTTTTTTTTGTTCCCGGTCCATCGAATGGAAAGCAAGGACCGAGTTTTGTCAATATGTTGGACCGAGTCCACATATTGGACCGAGTCCCTTGCTCTATAATCTCTATCGAAAATGTCAATTGGTTTTTATTGGACCCCATCCCTCTTTGGACTCACTTATACACCATATCAAACGACCCCTTAATCATCATGACTTTTCTGTTACAAATATTAATTCGTGTATTACTCATACTTTATTAGTATATTTAAAAAATAAGAAAAAAAAATCATAGTTCTAAGGCTAAACTTTACCATAATGCTAAAGGTTGTGGTGGTTGTTTACCAATGGTAAAAGTGTGACATATAGACGCCACGTAGGATTTAATATTTTTATCACAATTTGCGTGTGAGTGGAGTGTGGTGATATTTTTACCTTTGAAATAAATAAATAAATAAAACTAAATTTGCAATGACAATGAATATTTAGAATGGAAACCAAACCTCCAAACAATCTACATTTGTCATTGGTGAACTATTGAGATTTGTCGATGACAAAAAAACTATTTAAGATGTGGTGTTTGTCACAGACAAACTACTCCACATCAACCTATCATCCGCAAAAACTTCATGACACCGTGCAGCTTAAAGCCATCATGACCCATAACAATTTCTATATGCTTTTACGTAACCGAATTAGTCATATCTTTCTGTTTTTTCTGTAAATTCAAGTATACTACAAAATTTTAAAATAAAAATTAATTAAAAGGTCCAAAAGATGGGCAAAAGTAGTAGGGAAGTTAGTAACATTATTGTTCTAACACTGTCTGTTTTGAAATGCCGATATGATTCATTACGACCTATGATTCAAGGAATAATGAATTTATTCCTATCTTGCATCCCAAACATCACGTATGCTGCGACCAACGTTTGACTTTCAACTCAAAATAAAGACTCGCAGTCTCAAATTGGCTTCAACCATTTTCTTCCTTCAAGATAATTTAGGCAGATTTAAAAAGGTAACATTTTTTTTCTTTGTATTTATCTCACATTAATAAACAAATTGAAATTGTATATAATACTCATTTTGATGCTGTAGTAATTAATAAATAAACTAATTGAAAGTTATTGCTTTGATGTAATTAAGATAAGTTAAAAGTGGAGTGAGGGTTTTAAAAGAATATGATTTGAAATTAATTATTTAAACACGTACAAAAATTAACCGCTAAAATAAAAAGTTGGTAATTAATCAACGGAGTTAATATATCTTTATCTCTTTACTACAAATCTATTTTAAAAAATAAGAAAAATATAGCATATGATTACACTCCGTTTTCATCTTCAAGGAAGTGCAAACACTCATCATACAGCTTCTCTAGCATATTGCTTTCTTCATCTTTAAACATTAGCAAATCAAATCCGTCAAACTGAATATCCAGATCATGTTGACCATCCATTCTTGCTCCAGTACCTTCCATTTCTAACAATGGCGCCCAGTTCGTCCAAGAGAAGTCCGTGTCCGTCGGAAGTAAATGAGCTTCTCCTTGATACGTTGTGGAGCTCGATGATGCACTGCTCATGTCATTCTTGCTCAATGCCAACGATGCTGATTGTGATGAAGGTAATGACGAAGAAGATGAAGTAGAATGAGGAACAGTTTCTTCTGGTTTCTCTACGATTTTAACTTTCCTTGACTTCTGATCCGTTTTTTTCTTATTCTTCCGTTTTTTATTGTTTTTGGAGCCGTCCACCTGTTTCTCGCCGCTGTCAAGAGCTAATTTCCGTTTAAGATGCGAGTTCCAGTAGTTCTTAACCTCATTGTCAGTTCGACCTGAGAGTTCGGTGGCTATGAACGACCATCGGTTGCCATGGATAGAATGAAGGCGGATGATCATGTCGTTCTCATCTTCGGTGAAGTTTCCTCTCCTGATGCCTGGCCGAAGGTAATTCATCCATCTCAGTCTGCAACTCTTTCCGCATCTAAGTAATCCTGGATCCATTAGAACACAACAAACATTAATCAATCGATCATTTCCATACCTAACTAACACTTTTCAAGATCCTTTGGCTTTTGCTTTCTTTTAAATTAACATTATCGCATTTGCGATGATTAGTTTTACAAATGGTGAATGGATCGAGTAAAACTATTTATACATACCAGCTTTAGAAGGCATGGAACGCCATTGGCCTTCACCGTGGGTTTGAATGTACTCGGTGAGGAGTTTATCTTCTTCATTAGACCATGCTCCTCTGTGTAAACCCACCTTTGAACAGCAGGGTGCCCTTCCCATTTCTTTTCACACACAAACACACACTTGAGTATGTTTTTGATAGAGAAGCTTGTGGTGTGTGGTATGGGAAGGAAACCACGGCAACAGGTGTCCCTTTTAAATGGCTTTCCGAATATATAATTCGTCACGTTTTTCTTTTGGATAGTAGTAGAGACTCAATAATTGTTCGAAAGTCGACATTGACTTGGGAAATATATAAAAGTCACCCTCCATTTTTTGTATTATTCAAAATATATATGTACTGGAGATCTACATTAAACTCAAAATTATACGAACACGTGAATAGAGTTGTTTGATACATGTGAGCTGTTTTTTTTGTTAAACTATTTTAAATTTTGGTAGCCACGAATTTCTAGTTTGGTCTTTAGCGTGTAAGTCGCGCTATTATAAAACTGAATGACTAACAATAAAAAAATATAGCATATCTAATTCAAGATATCTCTCGCTTCATAAAATATAAAATAGGCAATTAATTGGAGGGACAACTTGCCATGACACATATTAATTGAGATCAATGAAGTTAATTTAGCAATTGCAAGTTGGTGTAGCTTACCAGCCTCTTGTGTTTCAGAAAAAAGAGAACATGTAGAAATTAAATGATTATAATTAACATCTCATCTAGAAAGATTTTATTATGATTTTTATACATTAAAGTAGTATTATCAAAAGCTCAGTAGTACTGGAGTGTGCATGGTAACGAAACACAACATAATCAATCT